AAACAATACAAAACATGTGAAATATGCCTGGCTACTTTGGCCGGTGAACTGAAGTCAATTTAACATCATTGTTAAAAGCATCTATTGTTACATGTACCGAGGCAGTAGCGACCAAAAAAAAAATTGTTGAACGAATTTAGTTTAGACAACGAGACGATACTGCACACACATTCCCTCGCATTGATCGATACACACTAACGCAGGGCTGACGGATACGACTCTACTTGTTGACCCGAGTTATCATAACCCCGGAAGAACAAGAACGCACATGCGCAAGGCTAATTAGCATAATTTATTTGGATGGATAAACAGGCATGGCCGTTGCGTTGATTGTTTTCCTTTTTGCTATCAGTTCCAGTTACATGTGTATTTATCGATATTTATAGGAGTTCAAAGTGAATAAATACCGATACTAAATAACAAGTGAGCTGTTATGTTTTTTTGTTGGTAATCAATTCGATCAGGGATTTACCGTCGGTATTCCGATTTACCCCAGCCACATGCATAGGGACCGTGACTGTCCCAGCGACTCGCACAACTTTTCCGGGTCGTCATCGTTGTGGTTGCTTGATTCATTCATTGAACAAAATTGTAAGTTATTCCCATGGTATACATATTTCAACAAAACATTAATGACAGCATGTTTTTTTTATCAAGACACTCAAGTTCGTAATTATGTTTTTGGCGTTCCATAGCCATCGGTACGGTGTGTTTGTTGTGGTAAACCGAATTATAAACAAGAATAAAACATAATTGCCGAAGCCATCGGTTGAATGACAGGTGTGAAAACGTGCTAACTTTGTCCTTTGTGGTCTTTGGAGCCTCGCTTAATCTTTGTACTCTGCAAGACATCCAGGAACTATGTCCGTTATATGCAGTTCAACTGATCACTGCGGCCGCTGAAGCGTGGCCGTTGGCCGCGTTAGGCAGGTGGCCGCTATAAACAGGGTACTTTACATGTAAAATTCGTAGGGACTGTTCGGTTGTGACCGCTATAGACAGGTGGCCGCTGTATCCAGGTGGCCGTTAACACAGGTTTGACTGTATTAATGTAAAGTGTTTATGATCAGTTCTCTGAATATATGGGCCTATATAAATGTCTATGTATTATTTATATTCATGTATTGACATCTGTGTGTCCGTGCATGCATGACCACCTCTATCTCGGAAATGCCTGGGCTGATCACACTCAAACTTCACACATACATCATACATCTTGGATCAATTTGTTTCACGATCTTATTTAAAATGGTTGACTGGTGGTGGCTTTATATGCTTAAAATTCACCAAAGCATTTTGGTCATTCGGGACTGATATCTTGGTTATACATGGACATCTATTGTCCATCTTGATACATATATTCAACATATATCATGAAGCCATGATGTTTTTTTCTCAGAAAGGATTCAAAATGTCCCTGACATCCATTGACTGATTTCAATCCAACTTTACAACTATACATGACATGAAGAGGAAACTGAAATAGAATTTTCTCGTCCTTGGAAGTGAAAATACTTACTCTCTTACATGTACTTCCGTACTTATGTGTAATTTTTTTCATGTTCTGATCATTTCAATTTTGTTTACTATTTAACTAATGGGGACTCTGTCATGTCATGTTTTGCTTTGCATCTTAAATGCATGTCAAATTACACTGTACTGATATATGAAATATGTCACATTTCCTTAATTACAGTACCATCATCATGTTAGATTCGCCTGCCATGAAAGATGTCAGCTCCACAGCAGCGCTTTTCCAAGCCATTGGATACTTCTGTATAATGTTTTTTGCGTCAGCGGGTATCGGAATACTTTTCGGTCTTGCAAGTGCTCTTATATCCTTTTTTTAAATGAAAAAAACAACATCTAAAGTGACATCACTTTAATACATGTATGTGTTTGTTGTGGTATGCTAATGACGTTATGTCTGGAAAATCAAACATTTAGACTGCCTTTAAAGCAGGAGGGTTGTCACTTGCACATGCGCGGGAATTGAGTCCCAAGTGATGATAACAACACATGCTAAGAACGCAAAGGCTCATGGGTAGACGCTTGTTTGTAAACAACGACATGCTATGGCCATCTGACGCATGCGTAGGTGACGACTCCCCTGCTTTAACTTTTAAGGATCCAATATTTTGTGATTTTCCAAATCTCACAAAATTTCTTAAATTGGTATGTACATGTATAGTAGTGATATCCGTGGTACATGTTGCCAGATCTTCTCTATCCATTGTTCTGTGGTTCAATAGAGTGGACACTATCATCTAAATGATAGCCAAATAACACATTTCATCTGGTGATGAGAACAATTGCAAAATGTAATTCATGTATACATGTATGATAACATTGATTATTGTCAAACAGTCGCTCATGGTTTTGTTGTATATTGATGTGCAATTTGTGTCATTCAACTCCTAAAAAGTAATTGGTGAATTTAGTTATAATTGAAAATCACAAAACATTTGTTTCCCTGGAAACCTTTCATCATCATCTCAATTTACTCAAATATCCTGTAGTGTATGTGCATACATACTTTGTACTGCCGCTCATTTTTTCAAAAAATCTGATTTTAACAAAAACAGTATTTTTTTGCAGATATAGCTTTCCTCTCAGTCTTGTAAATAATACTCGGTAGTTTATTTTTCAAAAGATCAAAATATAAATTGGTGCAATTTTTCATCGTCACCTTATATTGCCATGGAAATATGATATTATTTTCTGCATCTATATTATACTGCTTATGGCAATATCGCATTTTCATAATTCAATAATTATGGAAACTTTCACAATTTTTAAGCGTGATATGTGAATAATAGAATTGTGGATTTTAAAGATAATTAATCGATACAGTTTCTCGATCAAATCATTTCAGAATGAGACAGTTTCTCTTTTGGTGAGATACCATGATGAGAAGTGGTATCATTGTATCTTTAATTTTGAATTGCTGAATGATTTCTGTGAACGTGAGTGATTATTATCAGGTTTTACACCAAAATGACAATGGCTTTATGTGAATATATTAATACTAGTAGCTCAATTCTGAGGGGGGGGGGGGGCTACGTTGTGATCAATATGGTACAGGATGGTTTATTGTAAAATGGAAAAAAACTAAACCATTATTTTGGCAACAAAATTAGATGCGCATCTTCAATATGAGCGAATATATACCAAAAATCGCACATCATTAAAATTTACGTAAGCGTATACGTTACTGATAAAACAATTATGGCAGCCATATTCTTTTTAATTCTTAATGAAAATAACCCACATTTTTTTTTTATTTTTTTTATTCGAAAATTTGGTTCAAGACATGTAACTAACAGAAAATCATATCTCTGCAATGAAAGTGTAAACAAATAAATACAACTTCACAAAATGTTGACCAAAATGTTAGTGGAAAAGTGCTAAAAGTGAATATGAAATAATTGAGAAATGCAAATGTACATGATTTGCATATACATCAAATTATTTTGAAGTGCAGACACAATATATTTCATGCCAAATCAACATCTTCATTTCATAGTATATTTTTATCAAGATATAGTAACAAACAAACAAACAAACCAATCAACCAACCAAATAGTGTTGTATGATTTTTGACCTTGGTTTGTCATATATGGTGATTGGTTATTTCTGTCAACCATATTTTGTGGATTTGAGCTATATTTGGTTCTCTATATTTATTTTGAGATTAAAATCACTAAGATATGCAATTTATAAAATAAAAAAGTTTGCTACCATTAAAACATAGAAAAAAATTTATCAAAGTAAATCATTCAAAAATTGTTTCCTGATGATTCACACATGTATGTCATTCATTTTTAACAGTTTTACGGAGTAAGGATGTGTTTCTAAGGAAACAATTTTGGAACATTTTGAAATTTTGGAATCCATGTATTAAAACACAATATTCCGTGGATAATTAATATTCAAAGTTTTTTATTTGTTCATTGCAGCCATATGTAGCCCTATTAACACTGTTTATCATTTTTTAGCATAGGTTCCTGAAATTCTGAGATGTGATGGAATGTTTCTGCCATAGGATCCAATTATAAACTAGTCAAAACACACATTTTTTATAAATTTTGAGGTTGTTCGGTGACAATTTTTTTCAGAATTTTGAACATTACAGTAAGCCACTCCTTCAGTTGCTGGATTTGAAGAATGTTTTAAACATGTTTTTTTAATGGTAGCTATCTACCTTAAGGGCTGAATACAAAAATAGAGCACAGTTGCCAAAATAAAACAAATAAAAATAGGAAATCAGTTTCAATAAATAAATTGCTCACAAACATTTTAACATTTAAAACTCTTGTAAATATACAATATTATCCGATAATGATAATTGTGTAAAATATTGCATTTGTGGTTGAATTTGTGCTGTGTATATTTCCTTGACGTTTGTCCACATGTTAAAACATATCGACCTCAGAAAAACACCGTCATTAGAATTTGGAATGATCTTGATATTTTCGTATTTACCATATGGACTGGCGGAAGGTATCGAGCTATCAGGTAGGTACTAGCAGTTAAACACTGCAATGTTGGCGCATGGATCTTGTTTTGACATGTGTGTTTTAAATGATTTATTTATGTTCTATGTATGTTCTCTGCGGAACTAGACAGAACATGCGTAATTAAATTTTGATATGATCAAATATAAAAAAAGAATAAAATGCATACTTATAGTTCTATTTTTATCACAAGTTCTTTGTATTTTCAAAATATATAATTTTCATAAAGCTGTCGCTGTTTTTATCTTCACCAGCATCTTTTATCTTCCATTGTCAGTTATTCATGAAGTTAAAAAAAAAAATGTATACCTGCAACTTGCCATTGGTTGAATTTCAATGGAAATATAAAAATTATCTCATTGTACTGATCCCAGTATGAGATACTTTGAATCAAAGGCATTGTTTGTTGTTCTGAAACAGCTGTGTCCAAGAATATTTAATGACCATTGAACGTAGTAGAACAAAATTTGATTTTTTTTAACCTTTCACAAAATAAAGCAGCATTATTTTCACCACATTTTGTCAATAAGAAATAAAGCCCTTTGGTTCAAAATTAACAAAGAAATTATTGAAAAATACATAAAAATTTTGAATTCATGTCGCTGACAATTTGCAATATTGCAAAAAAATTGAAATACATAAAGTCTGGCTTCAAAATGCAGTTCATTTAGACAATTTGTAATTACTTTTTCTGCAATAGATTGATGTGTGTATAATATATTATTTAGTATTTAACTGTGTGTACATGTGGTAGTGACAGCTAATATTATATGGCAGTCATTTAGTCTAATAATAGAAAGCGAATATGCATTATTGACTATTAATAGAGAAATGCTATTGTGAAAATTTAATTTTTGTCGGTTTTAGGTGAAAATATGACTAAAGTTTTTATTCAATTTCTTTTTTTTTGCAATTAAAAAATAACTTGTTGCTAGTTTACTGTGGAATACTTTATTTTCGCTGGATTAATTTTCGCTGAAAAGGCTTTTTGGGTGTTTTGCTTGGAATTTATTTTCACTGATTTTTGATGAGATTAATGTAAAATATAGGAAAAATATATTTCAGCGAAATTCAAGCGAAAATAAAGTATTCTACAGTATTTGTATTTGGAAGGTATCAAACGAATAATTTAACATCTTTTTAATAAAATGTATAATGGAAATATGTTTATGTATATTCCTCTCTCAATTGTTAGTGGTTTTATTTTATTTTTTTGCATTAAATTTAATCTTGAACTTACTTTTCCAGCCAAAATTTTACCTATTTTTATGGCATTTTTTTCGTTGATTTAGAACCGAATTAAACATAATTTTCTATAACAATTTGATAAAAATTAAAAAAAAAAATATATTAAAAATATTATGTGTGTTCAATAACTGATTTGGAATTTAAACTATTTGTCTGTGTGTCAAGAGTGAACAAAATAAGGACAATTGATTGCTTCTTAGGCCCCAAATGTCTGACCCGTCGAACTTAGAATATTGTTTTTATTTTTTATTTGATTAATTAGGCATAATGGCAATATTGTTTTGTGGTATTGTTATGTCTCATTACACACATCATAATCTATCACCGGTGACGCAGATTACGGTACAGCAGACGTTCAGAACTGCGGCTTTTATTGCAGGTAAGGCGAAAAGAAAGTGATCAGAATATATATATATAACAAATGTGACGTGATCCAATATGACCAGTGTTGTGTGCAAAACCTGACCGTTGAACATGAACATTTTCACAATGCTTAAACTTGAGCGGTCACCCATTGTCAAGGCCAAAATTTATGATATTACCTTGGTAACATAAAAAAGCATCTGGAGTATAGAAGGGCAAACGAATGCAATGATGCCTTTTATGTCTCTGTGAATTTCAAGCTCTGTTTTTCAGCATTTTGTCGATTTTTATGAATTTGAAAAAAGCCATTCACTGTATATTTATAAATATATTAAGGCTTAATGAAATAGTGCAAACCATGAAATGAACATCACTAAAATTAATACTGTAAAATGACTAATTTTCTCTGGGTTTAAATTTCGCTGATTTAACATTTCAGGCATATTCAGTGAGTTTTAAATTTCACGGTTTTATCATTTAGATAATGTGTTCTATGCTAAATTTTACATATTCACTGGGTTTCAATTTAGCACATTTTCCAGTCATCGAAATAAGTAAAATTAAAACCCAGTGAATAATTAACCCTTTTACAGTATAATGGCATTTTTGAAGATGGTTGACATTTTATAAATTCATGCCTATATTAAAAACCTAGGTGACATTTTCATGATTTGTATCAATTGTTTTGTTGAAGCTTTCCATATGGTAGAATAAGAAAAGTAGATTTCAAGTTTTCACAATATTGCCACTAGAGGGAGCTGTATAGAATTAGGGGATGATTGATCAACCGAGTTCACCATAATACCAACTTGAATTCATTGTTTTGTGTTGATACTGAACATGTTTATGCCTCACACTTGTAACAATATTCTGTATTTCACTCCTGTAGGTGTATCACTTAAATAAAGGGCGGTGGTCGTCGCGCTGTGCATGTGCGACATTTGTGCTGATAAACATTTTCCCACAATCCAATGCGCTCTTCAAATGGAAATCACAAGTATGAGGTTTGACCTGGGCGCGACTTGCACTAATTACCGCCGGTGACTCCTTTGATACCTTCCAATCACCTAAAAATTACCTAAATAAAGCTTGGAAACGTCTCAGTTCGTACTCGTTGATCTGCGCAACAGCCAAAGTCGCCATCTTTGCTTATATGAGACCCATGTATCTCGCACATGCGTGGCGCGATGACTACCGCCCTTTAAATTTGTTTTCTGCTTCTTTTACAGAAACTTGCATATTTGCGTATCTTGGTTTAGCCATATTTAGTTTTAAACATGAATTTAAAGCCGCATTTGTTATATGGAGCATAGTGAGTACATTCTTTTGTTATTCTCAGTTTTACTTTAATAATTCATATGTTCACCACCAGAATTTCACGCCCAAATTGTTCTACACTTTTTTCTTATATTCTTCAATATTCCTGGAAATGAACGGTTAAAGGTTAAAGTGCTATTGACACTGCATGTTAAATTTTGGCGAAATCAAACAATATATTTTGCATGCTTACATGTTGTTTGGTACCAATTTTGAACACTGTGCAGAGCAATGATGGTTAATATCTTATCCTGTCATTGTGTGCAATATGTTTAGGTATTTAATAGTTTCATATGCTGTTCTTGTTTTCACAATTCAAGTAGTGTGGTGAAAAAATGAACAATGATGCACCAAATGAGTAATAAAATTAGGATGTGATTTAAGTGCAGAGTAGTCATACCAATCATGAACTCACATGGTAAACATACATGTACACTGCTAAAAATACTAAAAATCATCTTGGGCTGTGTTGCTAGTGTTTATGTTTATACACAAAATATTTATCACCACGTGTGTTTTGCGTCTTTGAGTACAACAATAATCTCGCTCATTTCTGTTCACATGATCAAACATTTCCAAGCCTCTGCTGCATTTTGTGATGCGATTGGTTTAAACGTAAAATAGAATCTTCAACAATATATCACCATACATAGACATATTCTTATCCTTTATAAAATGCAGGCTACTATCTCAGGTCACATGGTCTCCTTTTCATTACTTGCAGCTTGTAGAAATGGATTTCTGTTCGAAAATATAGCATATAGCTAGCATTTAAATTGTAATGTGTCACACACAGGGATGTGTATTCATTTGGTTTTACAGCATTATACAATCTGATTTAAAATATGATCCTGGTTTGGATTTTAAATTTTTTTTAATTATTTTTATTATACACTTTTTTTTCATTGAATCTATTATTTATTTTTGCTGGCAGTTTTTTTAAAGTTTTGGTAATCGCCAAAGTCCACAAGTACATGTATTTGGTAATATTTAAAACATATTTGTACATACCGTAATAAAAACAATTATAAAATTAATAGTATAAATAAAATATATAAAATAAAATAAAATTGATGCCGTACAATACATCAGATTTTAATCAGATTGATATGAGTTGAAAAATAACACAGCAGATGACCTAGGAAGAAACACCTTGTTAAAGTGTCCTGTGGTTTATCGCATACAAACAAATGCAGTTACTGACTATACTTTCTATGTATTATTACTTCAGGTGTTAGTGTTATTTGGAAGAGCAACCAATATTTATCCTCTGTCGTTAATTGTAAATAGATTCCGAGAACACAAAATAACACGAAAAATGCAATCCATTATGTGGTTTAGCGGTAAGTACGTCAAATTACAATCATATTTTCAGTCTCATGCATTCCCAACTACAAAACATTGTTATTAAAAATAATCCCTGTATGCAAATACCGGTAGAACAGAAAATTTAAAATTTTTTGTATGTGTGTAAATGTGAGGAGAATTGAGAATAGGGTTTCACACTTATCTCAACCCTAACGAGCGTAAAGTTCAAGGCGCGTAAAACAAGGAATAGGAAACAAAGAAACTACTTATTACACGCCACTGGAAAAGGTTACATGTACTTGCATGCTAAAACAAGTATTCAGGCCTTTTATAGCTTTGGTAGGATCAGCCACCATAACAAATTTTAGCGGTCTTAGTGCTGATTGGTTCATATTGCTATGAGCTATGATTGGTTAATAAGAGAATAGCATTGAAATGGCGTCTGCTATCCTTATTTGTGCTATACACTTGACAATTGAATTGAATAAACCCAATATGAAAAATTCAAGAAAGCACTGAAACACAATTGAATAATATTGAATCAATAATAAGAATGAATAATCACAGTAATAATTAGGGAAATAATAGTGGATTATTCTCCCTCTCATCGACAGAAATTATGACTTCAAATTTGAAATATGTACATGAATTCCATTTCTAGTTCTATTTTTTTGTAATTAAGCCATATGTGTTATCTGACAACTCTCAGTTTTGAAATCTCAATTTATTTCACGAGAAAACATTTTCAGCTCCTTCAAAATGTTATTGAGCTTGGTAATTTCATTTAAAAATAAGCAACCTAATCGAGTATGTACACAACTCTGCAAATACCCTTGTAAGTACTTTGCATTTTATCAGAACTCATCACTGTTTACATGTAAGTGAAATTCTTGAAATGGAACAGCACATGTTCTTTTTCTTAAGGATGTTCCACCTTTTCAGATACCCCTGTACAACATATGTAATAAGACACATTTCACCTTTCTTTGTCTCTAGGTCTACGTGGTGCTATTGCATTTGCTCTAAGTCTACATTTAAAATTTGCCAATCCAGAAACGAGGCATGTGCTCGTTACAACAACCCTTATTATCGTCTTATTCACGATTTTAATTTTGGGAGGTTCAACGCTTCCATTACTTAAGGTAAGTCTGTCTTAGTTACGTGTTTGGTGTCTTTTTCTGGGCAATATACACACATATCAAAATATAGTTGCTGGGTGAGGTGAGGGTGTGTGCCAAACATTAGGACATTGTGTTACTATCTATTGCATGCATTTAATTTGGGAAGAATTGTAACAATGAACTTGTCACTTTCAAAGAATGAGTTTTCATTCCCATTGCTACTGGTAAGAAACAAATTAATTAATTGATGATGGAAGTGGTGTGATTAATATTATGGTGACAATAGTGGTACCACTTTTTGAATTACCCCGGTACATTTACAATATTCACTCCATTTGTAATACATATAAATACTTAATAATCCTGTATACCATAAATTCATTTCTGGGTTCACATGGACTACTATTAAAGATGTACTTCTAAAAGAGTTAACACATTATCGGTTCCATCTGAGTAAATGCGTTTCCCATAGTTTTGTGCATTCATTACATATTAACACATTGCCGGCTTAGATCGTTCATTTCGGCTACATGTGGAAGCTTTCATTAGACCATGTGTTAAAACCATTATTTTTGTTTCAATATTTTTGTCCTTGTGTTACATTACATCTTTGTCTATGTGCTATGCAAATTTTAAACTAAATATTACGAGAAACATTCAGCCTCTATATGGCGTACAGAGTGTTAACGTAACATTTATTTGTGGGACCCATGATAAATGCTTTATTCTCACGTAGTATTTCACCTCTGTTCCATTATGTAGTTCTTAAAAGCTGAAAAGAAGCCAAAGGAGTTATCACTCAGCAAGACAGAGGAAATGGTAAGTCTTCATAAACTGTTCTCATGGATACATTTCATACTGTTTGACTGGTCATGTTAGCTTTCCATTTTGCATTTTCACTTTAATATCACATGACATTTTAACAATCAATGTCTACGTCACTTACTCACTGTATGTTAATAGAATTCTGTGAATTGCTTTAATTTCACAAGAGATAAATGTTCATGAGTAAAATTCCAAATTTGGTAGCAGTAAAAATTTATCTAGGGTCTTCCGGAATGCCATAAAAATCGTGAACATTTCTAGCAGCAAAAACTTAAAGCGGGGGAGTCGTCACCTGCGCATGCGTCAGATGGCCATTGCGTGCCATTGTTTACAAACAAGCGTCTACCCATGACGCCTTTGCGTTTTTAGTGTGTGTCATCGTCGCTTGGGACTCAATTCCCGCACATGTGCAGGTGACGACCCTCCCGCTTTAATGGTTTACTGTAACTTGAAGAACAACTTCTGAACTATAATAATCGTTTGACCTTTTAACCCTTTGAACACCGAAAGTCATCTGTCGTCACTTTTCACAAAATAAACACAATTTTTCAATATTTTTTCAAAAATGTTGATCAAGACTTGTAGATAATGGGAAATGATCATTTGGTCCAAAATTACCCTTAGAAAATTACAATTTGTGGAAAAATACAAAAAAACACTGATATAAATGATTTCAGTGAACAGTGCTTCTTATAATCCTTTAACAAATGGATAATGTACAGTGAAATATTTGCTGCACAAAATTAGTGAATATGACTCCAGGTCTTAACCCAGGAAAATTTTCATTGCTACACAGTTTCACATGAATTTGTCATTATTATTCTAATGCGCATTTTCTCATTTTTCTCAGGGCCACGCTGTTGATGCTGAGCACTTATCGGAATTAACGGAGGAAGAATACGAATTTAATTTTGTAAAACCTAATCTGAAAGGTTTTATCCGAGTGGACACCAAATATTTTATTCCTTTCTTCACAAGAAGGTTTACAAATGAGGTTAGTATGTGTGTGTACATTAGGTTTGGTCAGAGGGGGAGGGGTAGGATGACGTGGGATGGGACGGGGTGTGGCGAGTATTGGCAGGATGAGGGAGACAGGATGTGGTCTGAGGGCAAACGACAGGTTGAGGATGGAGTGTCAGACTGGAGTACTGAGGCAGTACAAGGAGGGGAGATAAGGTAAAGGCAGATTAAGGCACTGAGATGAAGTGACAGGGTAAAGTAAGAATGGACATTGAGAAAGTGAGGGATAGTGAGGTTAAGAATGAATATTAAAATGAGGAACCTGAGGGGATAGGCTAGAGAAGCAGGTTGGTGGGAGGGAGAATAGATGAACTATTCATATATTTATTTATTTGGATATTATGAAAAATGATATTTAAAAAATGTTTGTATTGTGTATTTTTATAGGAATTACGCGATGGGCGAATCCAAATGAAGCATCTAACAAACCGATGGTATGCTGAAGTAAGGGGACCAGCATCTGATGAAGAAGATGAGAGAGAAACAGAAATATAATAATAATATATCAAAAATGAATGTTCATAATATTTATGAAACATTGTAAATATGGGTATGGTATTGGTGAGGATTGAGCTTTTGGTGGGACAAGATGATGAGCGCCCTCTATAGATCGACCTTTTTACTTTAATAATGCATCTTGTAAGATGCACATAATTTGTCTGCAGGGCAGAGTTTAAAGCTTCTATGTAGATTTTTTTTTTTCACTTTAGTTATCTTGGTATATACTGTAAAACATGTTGAAAAAGTGACATACTATTTTAGCGAATTGTGGTAAAATGACGTAATAGCGAAATCTCTCGTCTTTGTTGATTTCCTGTTTTCACAATACTTGTTTGTCGTCTGCCAAAACAAATGCGCAGTTATTACCTCTATAAAAACAAAGAAAAACTGTCAAGTGTAATTAGGAAGTGCTCCAGATTTCTGTGTTGTTTATAAAGTGTGTGTGTTGTGAAAAAGACGTTGTTTGGCTGCCATTTTGAATTTATAATAAAGTCATTAGCGACATCTTAAATTAGCGAATTAGTTCTCTCGCTAAATTCGCTAAAAAGACATGCTCGCAAAAAAGACATGTTTTACAGTAAACTCCCACTCGTTTTTGAGAACATACATGCTCATCTGTCAGGATTATGTAGTTTTTTAAGTAAAACGATAACCGGGGTGGGGGGGGGTGTCAGTGTGGGTGGATACAGCAATATCACAGAGCTGGTATGAGTTTATACTGAGACAACAAGGAAAAGGCATTGTCGTACATGCTGTGTTTTTTTTTTTATTAATTTTGTATAGATCAAAGCTAATATGAACTTTAAACAGGGTTATTTATTTCACATATAACCCCCAGTATTAGATTTTAATTTGGAACAATGAATTAAGGGGGGGAGGGGGAAAGGGTGGGGGTGTCAATGATGAACATAAGGTATACAATTCGTTCTTGGCCTTTAAGTATTTCAAGGACAGGAAGTATTTTTGAGGCTTGTACAGATTTCAAAATAAGGGAGAATTTTTCAGATCATGTCAAGAGATTCCATATTGGTGCAATGTAGATGTTTACATGTTCTCACAGTTGCCGCATGTGGACAGCCAAATGCATGTGATTTTATTTTTTTCTGTGTGTGTCAATTTGGACAGCAACTGCTTGATATCATAATGGGACGTCACATATCATAGACTAAACACTTTTTAGTCTTGCTGTTTTTCTTTATACAGTGTTTGTGGGAGAAGCAAGAGCTTTTTATGTAATTTTTTCCTGAAAGCTGTAATGAAATGCTTTGTAAATAGCCGTATTTATTAATGAATAAAATCTGACATAAAACAAAGAATGCAAGTGTGATAAGTGTTTGACAAAGTTATTGCGCTATATTTTATTTTTTAATTGTGGGTAAGGCCATATTTTTTTTATTCCTTGTTTCTCTGGTTTTATAGGGCAATTTTTTTGAGGAAGGCGGAATAAAAATAAAATTAATTAATTTTTTCCCATTAGGTTTGTGTGATTCTCAAAGAATTGTAAGTGAGATTATTGATCGGAGAGAAGAAATGAAATAAAATTTTATTCCATGTATAACCTTGTTTCTCATCTGCGCGAGAATTCGGTACTTTAATCATGATACTCCAACGAAAATGCAACTTGGATTTGTTATGCGGCGGGCGGTAAATAATGAAATGAAAATATTGTTTGCGCTTACAAGTCGGCGGGCGCGAGAAATTACGCTGAAATAAAATTTTATTTTTATTTCATTTTTGGCTCCTGTTCTTTCGGCGGGTTCGCGAAACAAGGAATAATAAAAGTCTGGCCTAACTGCTATGAGCCGTACATATCTACACCACTATTATTGTGTATGGAGAAAGATTAATACATGTATGTATACAGGACTATAAGAACATGAAAAAAATGTTTCACTTCCACCATAGTGGGCGCATCACTGTTATCAATACAACTTTTCAAAAATTTTTGCTTTATGTGTAAGGTTTTCAGAGGTGACCCAAGGTTTTCAGATTTGGATTACCTTGAAATAGTCTCCCACCTGCACTTTCCCAGGAATATCTGCAAGCATTGATTTAATAAGGGTAACAAGTACTTGTTATGTCAAAAGACCTGTGGGACAAATCCTTGCATATTAGACTTTCAGACCTTTGAAATTTTGTTTAGTAGTTTTGAAAAAAAAATTCCCCAAGCCATACTGTACTAAACTTTACATCAGATCCATCATTCTAAACACCACTTCAGCACAGAGTTCACGAAAATTGATTGGCAAGAAATTGCCAATGTAGATATCTGGTGAATACAGTACACATAATAATTGACACTTTAAAAGGCTTTAAACAAATCTGTAACATGGTGGCGCTCTTCTTAAAAGCTGAAAATTAAAGGTTCATCAAAATACAGGATTGTTGACATTGAGTACAAAATACACGACTCAATCTAGACAGCAATAAATAGACACACTTACCAATTAGAATTTAAGCACATGCCTAAAAATTTATTACAAAAATGATCACTTTGTGAACACATAAAGATAATAAATAAATATTATATAAAAAAAGCGGGAATGAATATGAAGGTTTCAGATAACATAAATGTACAGACCTAAAATCAAAAAGAATATACAAGTCATGCTTGGACAAGTTATACATGTACAGCAAAACCAGACTCAGTTACTTGGTCATCTTTTTTGACTAGGTCCACTGTATTTTGTATCAATACATATGTATGGCCAAACAGATACATGTATGGCATCTTACAGAAGGCATAACCATGATCTCGTTGCAATGCCTGGCATACACCTCATTGCATCAATGGTTATCTCTCATTACGGGCAAGTCAAATAAAGAATTCATTCATTTCTCCCACAGAGTGCCAACCTGCTGTAGATAAAAATCTAACCAACTTTTATTCACAGGGCAAATGAAACTTAAAATATTTAGTATTAAGATGTAATTGTATCTATGCAAGTTTCTGATATTTGATGTGAGAAATTATGGAAGATGATCTTATGTGATACACTAATGTACCCTCTATGGGCAGACTCACTAGAACTACCAACAGGATTGTGATGGCATGCACTCCAGTAGAACATTAATCAATCAATCAATTATTAAAAAGTTTAATTCCCTGCTTAGAGAGCTCATAGAATAAAAAGTTACTGACAATTCAGTATCTGTAGCGTAACCATCTTGAGAAAACATCTGGGTTCAAGGTCAATCTGCTTTGGCATGTGGTGAGTATCTATATAGTGTTCAGCCAGTGTATCATGACGCTTATCGCATTTCTATGATTCATTGTTCGTGTTCCTGTGGAGTGTAGCCATACATAAATGATTGTTCGCATTATATCCACAACAGTTGCGTTCACAGCTCTTCTGAGTTTTGCATTTACATGTATGTATACCATAATGTAACGATACTTGCATACTCTTACATATTTCTTCTGAAATAATAAAACATAGCGCAACAATTATAACCTTGCCTTTGTTCATTGATACAAGGTATAATTTGGAATAATGAATTGACAGGCATTAACAAGGTGACAATGATTTCAGCTATTTCAGGGGGGGGTGATACCAGTAATAGTGCCTTTTCCATTTCAATTTTTCTGCCAAGTTTGTTACTGGTTGACAGGTGAAGCTGGTTTTGTACTCGTGAAATTATGATATAGCATTCAAAGTGACTTGCACAAGCAGTCATATTATTGAAGTAGAATTTTGTGAGAAAAATTATGATCAAAAATAGACAGGTTTAATTTGAATGACAAGCAGGGAATATGAGCTCTGACAATGTACATTCACACAAATTTAATGGAAATTCATATACGTGAGTGTTGCTTGTAACAACTTTCTTTTAATGTGGAAGGAGGGAGCATAGCAACTAATTTATGCAACTGGATTTGAAGATACTAGTACGGCAAATGAAATACATGTATATCCAACTCACCTGAAACCTTCATGTGCGAATATCACATATTCTCGTAATTCATTTATTTTAACAAAAAGAAGCTTGGCAATTATTACATCTAAGTTTGAGCAATTCTGTGAATAAAACAGATATATTTTGGGTTTATTTCTTAGTGTTCTTCACGCTGGTTCAATAATGGACAGCAAAGCTATTTATTTTGTGCAAAGTCGAAGAAATAAAGAGTTCTCTATCACAAATGATTGAGACCATAGGTCTAAAATATATGTAATTATGTATATAATGAAGTTAGTAAAGTGAAGTAACAATATTTAAATTTTAAATAATTAATTATAAAATAGATCTTTTAGCAATGTACAAATGTGGCTAAAAACCAGAAAGTGGACATGAAATGTGACTTTAATAACTTATGTGCAGCAACAGTGGTAAATAATCCTATGCAAAACAAATCTTTGTTTTGAAAGGTATAATTGCAAAAGCACAAAAGAGAACAAAGTTCATAAAGAAGCAAGGGACTTTTATTGAATATTATGACCTGTAATTGTTTTTTATGTTTTTTTTTTTTGTCATCTGTAATTGTAACTTCCGCATATTGGTTAATAACAAAAATAATATTGTGAGTGTACAAGTTACAGTCAAAGTCACTGTCACCAAATTTATAATATGTGTATACATCCCGAATATTGTGAACACATGCTTTGCATATATATTTGCAGTAACCAGAGTTCCAGAAGTTGATTTCAGGCAGATCTTCAAATTATCAACACACTCATCCAAGCCGAGTATAAGACTGGCATACAACTTGGCCTGAAGCAAAATCTTGTTAATTGTGTGGAATTAAATCTGATTTGGAAAGCTTTACTTTCACAGCTGTGGTTTGATTTAGTGAGCAAAATGTTATGGCTGTTCTCATGGTTCTCATGGAGTTTTGGTTCTTTGAATTTTAGTGAGAATTTGCTCACTACATTTTGCTTACGAATCATCCAACCTCACCATCTAGTAACCACTGTTTTCATCAGCAGATATACTCACCTGTATTTATATAACTAGGTGCTTAGAATCTAAGTGGAGTTTGAGGTTGGCTGCATCGCAACTCACAGTCTCACACTGTGGACATTTATAGCCACCGTGGAACTGTGCGTAATGGTGTGATAACAACATCACATCTATGCTGGTTTCGTATACACAGTCTGGGCACTTATATGGTGCAGTCTTTAAATCAGAAAACGTCACCTGCATTACAAACATCAAAATATTGGGAACAACTATTAGTGTTTGTATCTAGTGTACAACTTCGGTTATATTTAATATCTGAAAACATAGCATCACGTTTCGGTCATCAAGTCAATTCTGATGTTTCCTTGAACTTCCAATGCCATACATTTTTCCGGGAAAAATGTGGAGCAATATTTTGGTCATTTTTATGTACTTCTGTAATTCATTAATTTTGGACCAGTTGGAGCAAGTGTAGGACAAAGTGCTTCGAGTAGTACAATACTAGAAATAACACATGAATATTTTCCTTCTTGGCTAAAATAAGTTCTTATTAACATTGTAGTCTGAAATAAAAAAGGCAGTACATGTTTTCACTCGTATTGGTTTTGCGCCCTGCTCAGACACCAAAAAAATACAGATATAATGGCGTAGTATTCAGTTTGTTTGTATATTTATTGCATATATATCTATTAATTATTATTTTGTCTAGTCACCAGTTTAACCAAGGGAGTGTAACTAGTACACTTACATTACAATTACATTATTCCACAAATCTTTCAAAACAGAATGCATCACTGATCCAACACTTTTGCCTAATGCCCTTGGTTGGACATAATTTCCCACTAACAATAGGTCTTGATCAAACGAATTGAAAAAATATGGAATCAATTTATGCAGGTTACATTTTATAAAATGCAATAAAAATTTACTTTTTGTATTCAAATATGGGAAAATGAGATGGTAGAAAATCAACGTGTTATGTGACACTGGTTAATCCTCTATTAAACAGAACTGAATTTGTAAGAATCTTGAGTCAAAATAGAACTCATTTCTTTCATTTTTACACATGCATTGTTTATAAATCGTGAATTTCACATTACCAAATACAAATCCCATAACCATGGTAACACTTATTTGAAGATTGCTATGTCAGTGTACAAGCTTTTGTTGCACCAGAAAATGTGCACATTTCTGCATCACAAATGATCCCTGTGCATCAGTGACGCACCATATCAGCGACGCACCATATCAGCGACGCATCACATCAGCGACGCATCACATTAGTGACGCATCACATCAGCGATGAATCACATCAGCGACGCATCACATCAGCGACGCATCACATCAGCGACGCATCACATCAGCGACGCATCACATCAGCGACGCATCACATCAGTGACGCATCATATCAGTGACGCATCATATCAGTGACGCATCATATCAGCGACGCATCATATCACCGACGCATCATATCACCGACGCATCATATCAGCGACGCATCATATCAGTGATGCATCACATCAGCGACGCATCATATCAGTGACCCATCATATCAGCTTAGAGAGCAGTGATACACATTTGTGGTACTTTTTTTTTACCGGAACGTGTATTGATTATTCCCCTCCCCAAAAAAACGAAGAGCAATAACGTCGAAATCCCATTCTTGATGACATCACTTCATAATGTGTGACTTGTAAAAAAATTTTAATCTCTTACCCTGTGTACATTTTTGATTTTCGAAAAATGCTCAAACACGAAGGGTACAGATTCCCTACATCCTTCACAATCACCTGACATCACGCCGCTGCTGTCTATTGGCTTATTGTCCACAGCATGACCGTTGCTGTCTGTCGGCTTATTATCCATGGCTTGACTCCTACTGTCTGTCGGTTTATTCTCCGTGGCTTGACTCCTGCTGTCTGTCGGCTTATTCTCCGTGGCTTGACCGTTGCTGTCTTTCATGTATGCATTAGTACGTAGCACTACACTGACGTTTTGTTCCTGTACTGCATTTGTCATATCAACTTCCACTGACACAGCATCATTACCAGTACTCACAGTGGAGTCTACAGCTAGATATGAAACAAACAAACAAATAGTAATAAACTTTCACCTTCTCTGAGCACCAAAACCAAATTTTTCACCTTTCACAAAAAACAAACAAAAATAGTTTTGTCCATCTTTTTCAAAAAAATGTTATTCAAGACTGTAGCCACTTGGAAATTATATTCAATTTTTTATAAGCATTGGTGACCATCCATGACCATGAGCTAGCAAGCATAATGGAATAACCACCACATTTGTAAACAAGAACAAAGCGACACAAACGCTAACTTTTTATTTCATATTACCATAGTAAATTACTAGAAATTAAAGTCATCTCGCATTAATTTCTGGTGATCTAAATTCAACAGTACTATAGAATTTTCCCAATTTGATAATTTTATAGCACTTTTTAGAAAATATTTTGTGACTGTGTCTTTAGGAACCCAACGAAATTATCACTGCTACATTAATTTGTGATTTTCACCAACTTTTGAATATTTGTCTCTCGTAAGATTGGAACGGCTACAGAACATGTTTTGGAAAAGCGTCCACTGGGCTCGTATAAATGGTTGAATCTCCAACACAAAAAATGATTGAGGGTACTGATTCCATGCAGTGAAATGTACATACAGTATTTGCTTTATTAGAAGCGCATCTCCAAAAGAAGTGCACAAAACCCAACAATTGTATTTAATGTTGGATGATTAAAATGTGACATAAAGTGGCCATATATCCAACTGTTATTTTACCTGTATGCTCACTACTAATAGAGGAATACAGTAATTACACTATGTAGAATGGGTACAATCTATACTATAAATGAGACCTACCCAGACCCTTATTCCCAGCTGGTGTACCAACACTTTTCTTAGCAACAGGCTCCATTGTATACATCACCCCTGCTGGACCAAGAAACCGGTTTTGAAGAATCGTATGAATCTGTGACGCATGTCCACTAATGTCTGTAGTGTTTGTAGTGGTATCGGCCCCACTTGTGTGTAGCGCCACACTCTCAACTCTTTGCTGCTTAGCTGGACAAGTCGATTCTGTGTCTGAATTCGATAAAGGTCTTTTTCGTACTAAGAGGTCATCAACGTCCATACTGATGGTGGTTGCTATGGGAACAGTAGGTTTTGTAGATGCTTGTACGCTATTCGGTTGCAGCTGTTGAGTTGTTGTACACTGAGTATTTTTCATTATAGGTGTTGGCAACTGTGTGGTCAGATTATTGATTTTTTCTTCCGTGTTTTCCTTCATCAAATTTTGGGTCCTGGATCTTGGCAACATTGAGGCTTGTGCAAATTGCACAGTCTGTTGAAGTAATGTTGGAGTAGATGTTGCTGTCTGAGGTGTCAACGTCACAGACTCGTGACAGATCGGTTGTATGCTAGTACGTGGGCTTTGCAGTCCTGGAACAAAAACAACTTTTGGTAGCGACTTCATAGCTTTGCCCGAGTTGGCAATGACAGACGGAGTCAGGATTATGGGTGACATTGATCTGATAGGAATCGCAGATTGCGGTGCAGATGTTCTTGAAATCTGATGCATTGGAACTTTCATCATCGGCACTGCTTGTGTGGTCGGACACCTGACCATTACCATTCTCGGTGGTAACTGATTATCGTTAAAAACCTGATTACACAGGGTAGCTTTGACTGGTACAGACTGCTTGTATTCCCGGATTGCAATTTTAGGAACCAACTGTGATTTCCCAATAAGCGAATGTACTATATCACTATTTATCTGATGTTGGGTTTTTGTTCTATTAACAGTCTCTTTTTGTTTTGGTTTGGCAGTCAGCTCTATTGTGCCATTAACAATCAACGTCAGAGACGTACAGACAAAAGGTACATCCCTCTTACTGGTCTCCCTTTCGCTTGATATCATCATTTTTAACGCTTTTTCTAACGAGTTATGGAGATCCAGTAACTGCTCAACTGATTCTTTTTCCATTTTATCTAGCATTGCTTTATCAGCGGTTTGCAATTTTGCATCAGGATTCGCTCTTAGTAGCGGCTGAAGGGCAGTTGCTACATTCTGCAACACGCCCACTATGCGCTGAGTTTCAGGCGTTGCATCAGTCGTACTGTACCCAGCACTAGTTATCGGTTGCAAAGCAGAAGCCACACCGTGCAGTGCACCAACAATGTCCTGGTTAACCTCTAAACCAGATTTGTCATTAGATAGCGAGTTTTTCGGCTCTGCCTCATCCTCGCACGAAGCTCCATTTAAAATGGAAGGAAGCTGCGTAACCGCCGAGATCACTGAAGTCTGATCTTTGTCAGCCGGCACGGAAGTTGATCGTAGTACACTTGTTTTCGGTTTATTGAATCTCACTTTACGGTTATTACCAGATGACGTTATCACGTTATGCCAGCATTGGTAATGTACTTCTAACTCTATCATTGAATTAATGGACTTGTCGCACAGATCACAGCTGTATGGATACTGTACACACGCACCTAATGCAGATAAGATAAGAGCATTTGTTACACACCAACAATTTTGCATTGCATTGTACGGTACTATAAAAATCCCTACCATATAGGAGCAGAAATAAACCAAAATGTTTTATATACTGAGTGGTTAAAATACAACTTATTTTTACCACTATGATGCATCTCTGTCATTTACGCATTCGCTCAAAACATATTTGCACTTTTGAATTTTTCTTTGAATTGTACCTCATTTGAGATAAACTATGTCACCAATATTGAATGTATTCCAGAATATTTATGTCACATATACTGTGAAATACTTTATTTTAGCTGGAATTTATTTTCGCTGAAAAGACATTTTGGATGTTTTGTGTGGAATTTATTTTCACTGATTTTTTTATGAGTTTAATGTAAAATGTAGGAAAAAAGGTATATTCGCTGGATTTTATTTTCACTCAATCATTCCTTCAGCGAAAATTAATTACAAGCGAAAATAAATTATTCTAGAGTATAGGATTTCATCGGACACAGAAGCACAATAGTGTCTCACTGAACATAAACTTTAACACAATTCAAAATGTTTTTTTCATCACAATTTGGGATTATCCCTCAATAGCACTACAAGCTGAAATATATTTTTTGATTTGATCGAATTCTATTAGACCTAAAAACACTAGTTAATATTTATGGTTAGTGAGCATACCATCAAAATTTGATATCTCTTATTTTGCCACTGTACAGCACCCTCTGTTGACAAAAAGTGAAGACATATACTAGTAATAACGAAAAAGTCAAACTCAAAAACTAAAGTCAAACTCTTTTTTGAGAAAAAAAATTGACTCAATAGGAAATTATGTTTTGACATAGGAATTACATAAAAATGTTGCTAAATTCATCCCTGTGACTGGCTATTTTTTTTTTTCATTTTTAGTGGTATCCACTTGTGTTCTGACAGCAGAAAATATCAGTTTCCACCAAAAATGACCCAATGACATTCATTAAACATACAAAATTTGGGAGAGAATCACATAAGGTACTTCTATATCAAAATTTTAAAACGTTCTGAGTAGGGATTTTGGGAAAGAAGTCAAAATATATCAGTTTTAACTAAAAATGACCCAAAATGAACAATTTGATAGAGAGAGAATCATCCAAGGTACTTGTATACCAAACATTATCACTTAGACTACTGGTTTTCAAAATGAAAATGTAATTGTTGGTGGGCGGACGCTGGATGACAAACAACAATCAATCAATAATATTAACAGCTTTGCTGTGTCACCTTTGATGACAGCAGAGCTAAAAAAAATGTACCAGATTATAACGACTGACCTGGATTCTTACCATGACCACGGTTACTAACGGTTACTAACCTTACTGTCACCTACATGTATACAGAGTGTATCTTTCAGATGTTGATTATTATGCAAATACAAAACTACCACATGTACTGTGTTATCATGTTTGCTCTATTAGAATCGCATCTTCAAGAAGAGCATACCAAATATCATTTATTGCGTACGAG